TATTTACGAAACTGTGAAATAGATTTAAGTAAAATTGTAAGAAATTCTGATTCGTTAGTGACGTATACAGGTCATAAAATTCCGATTGTGGGAAAAATTTATTTAGATGTGAAATTTGAAAACAAATTACATAGGAATTTAGAATTTTATGTAGTTGAAGGTAAAAATGACTCAATATTAGGACTACAGTCTAGTATAAAATTAGGAATAGTAAAAATTCATGATCAGGTTGAAATGAAATCAATTAATGTAATCACTGAAAATGTACAACATGATTATGCGCAATTGATTAAGAAATATGACATTTTTAATGGTATAGGGAAATTAAACAAGCCATATCATATCGAAATTAAAGAGAATGTTACACCTAAAGTAAATCCAATAAGAAATGTACCGTTTGCTTTGCAACAAGATTTTTGTAAGTATCTTGATGACTTGCAAAAATTAAAAATTATTGAAAAGGTAAAAGGTCACTCCGAATGGGTTAATTCATATGTTTTGGTAAAGAAAGGAGATGGTAGTCTTAGAATATGCTTAGACCCGAAACAGTTAAATGAGGCGATAAAGGATTCTAAGTACAAAATACCGAGCATTGATGAAATTTCAGCTAAATTAAATGGTTCAAAATTCTTTTCAAAACTAAATGCAACTAATGGATTCTGGAACATTCCATTAGATGAAACCTCTAGTAATTTATGCACTTTCGGAACCCCCTATGGAAAATTTAAATTTCTTAGGATGCCTTTTGGCATAAAAATAGCTAGCGAGGTATTCCAAGAATATTTTAAAGAAATATTTACTATGCCAGGTGTCGAAAATTATATCGATGACATCTTAATTCATGCTCCAACGAAAGAAGAGCATGATAAAATCTTAGAACAAGTATTTAAAACAGCCTATGAAAATAATATAAAATTCAATTTAAATAAATGTCAGTTAGGTATTAGTGAAATAAAATACTTAGGTTTAACATTTACTAAAGATGGTATTTCTGTTGATGAAGAAAAAATCGATGCAATAAAAAACATGCCCACCCCCAACAACAAAAAAGAGGTTCAAATTTTCTTAGGAATGGTCACATACGTAGGCAGATTTGTACAGAACCTGTCAGAATTAACTAAACCATTAAGAGACTTAATTAATTAAAAAAGACATTTTCTTTAAATGGGAAAAAGTTCATACTGAAGCTTTTCAAAAATTAAAAAATGAAATTATGAAGGAACCATTACTAAGATATTTTGACCCAAAATTACCTATAACTATTTCTGTAGACGCTTCACGTTCTGGTTTAGGGGCAGTATTGTTACAAAATGGTCAACCTTGTGCATATGCATCTAGAGCAATGACCGAAACGTAGACAAGATACGCTCAGATCGAAAAGGAACTTCTTGCCATATGCTTTGGTACAAATAAATTTTATCAATACATCTATGGTACTAAATGTAATGTAGAAACAGACCACAAACCCCTAATTTCAATTTTTAAGAAATCCTTAAACTCATGCCCTGCTAGACTTCAAAGGATGTTAATATCTTTACAAAAATTTGACATAAATCTTATTTACAAACCAGGTAAACAATTAGTCATGGCTGACACTTTATCTCGGTTAAATGAAACTAAAGAATTTAATGATCAATTAAATTTAGAAGAACAAGTATGTTTAATTGAAAAAAATGTCAAAGTATCTGATACAAAAATTGAACAATTAGCAACTTCGACTAACAATGACAAAAATTTAAAAATTATAAAAAACTACATAAACAATGGATGGCCTAAGTCGTTAAATAAAGTTCCAAGTCAGTTAAAACCATATTATAAATTAAGATCTGAAATAACTTTAGGTTCAAAAGGACTTATTTATATGGGACAAAGAATAATTATTCCGACAGAATGGCAAAATAAAATTTTAAGCGACATACATGTAGGACATCTAGGGATTCAAAAATGCATATTAAAAGCCAGGAATTGTGTATATTGGCCAAATATCAATCAACATATTGAAAATTTGGTTAATAGATGTAGTATTTGCAATAAATATGCTAACTCCAATACAAAAGAACCGTTAAAATCACATCAAATTATTAAATCTCCTTGGAAAAAATTAGGGATAGACTTATATGAGTTGTATAGTGAAACATATTTGATTGTAGTGGATTATTATTCAAAATATCCTGAAATTTGTTCTTTAAATCATGACTTAACTGCTAAAAATGTAATAAATAAATTAAAAAGTATATTTGCAAGACATGGTATTCCATATTTAGTTGTATCTGATAGTGGTAGTCAATTCATTAGCAAAGAATTTCAAACATTTGCAAATGAGTGGAATTTTAAATCAATAATTGCATCTCCACATCATCAGCAATCGAACGGGCTTGCTGAAAGAACAATTCAAAGTCTAAAAAAGATGATCAAAAAATGCAGTGATAATAAGGAAGATATTTATCTTGCTTTACTGTCATTTCGAAATACACCCGTAGTAAACACCTATTCGCCTTCACAAATTTTAATGTCACGACATTTACGAGATCACTTACCCATTTACGATAAGAAATTAAATCCTGCAATTATAAGTAAAAACAAATATCATGAATTATTAAACAGATCACAAATTGTGAGCAAACACAACTATGACAAAAAAGTTAAATACAGAAATGAATTACCAAATAATGCTCTAATATGGTATCAAAAAACACCAAATGATATTTGGAGAAAAGGTAAAATTGTAGATAAAGTTAGGGATAGAACTTATAAAATACTAACTGAAAATGGGAAGTATTTAATAAGAAACAAATATTATATTAAAGAATCTAAATGTAAAGAGTTTCAAGTTTCTAATTATAATTCAAGTTTTGTTGCTACACATGTATTTAATAAATCTAAATGCTTGGATAATGAGGAACCTGAAAATATAAATACAAATTCTTGTAGTGATCAAAATTGTAATACTGATACTAATGTAGAACAATGTAGATTTAGGAAAACGTTTGAGAAAATTACCTTCTAAGTTCAATGAGTTTGTGGTGTATTGAAATTGTTAGTTTTCTTTTTTTTATTTTATAAAAAGGGAGATGTTAGGTATATATTTAAGTATCGACAACACTGTTAAGAATCGTACGGTTGTATATTTGTAACTAAATAAAGCAGTCTGAACTCGTCTCTTGCTCGTTTAATACAACAGTAACGCAGACTGTTCAACCCCTGTAAGTGTAACTAGCCAGTCAGAAGGAACGCTTTCTGCCTGTAATAACGCAGTATTATTTTTTCACGTCGAAGATGCTTTTGTACTCAAAACTTTCGATGACATATTGTTGAATCTATTTTATAGCATATAATGGTTATTCGTATTAAGATGAAATGAAGTGAAATACAATAAAATTATTTTAACTTCTACCGCATCCATTTACAATAAGTGATTAAACGCGAAATCAATAAGTCAATATGTTGTATTATCTTCCATTATTCATATGAATCACACATCTATTTAACTACACTTTATTCCGTATAACTTCCGTTGCACGTCATCATTTCCTGTGACGTAATTACTATGCAATAATGCCAAATCTAGTTTTGAACGATTTAGGTTATGTCACTTGTCAACAAGACAGTGCATTCTTTGTGTGAACAATCCACACCTTAAATAAAATAAAAATAATTTTTATTATTCATTTCGTTAATTGGAACCACAATATACATACAATATACCTTAATAACTTATGAACTGTACAAATGTAGCATCTCTTTTACAGAGAAAGTACTAAATATAAAATTTTACAGGTTATGTGATGTGATGGATGATATTCAAATTAATCGGAATCATCGGAACTTTCGTGTTCAAAGTTTATAATAATAGTAGCAACGTTTTCAAGATCTAATTGCTTTTCTCTTTCGTACCACTCGTGTATTACAGTTTCCGTATCCTTAACTGAATTGCGCCACGTTTCGGAAGTTATCGGATGTAGTGTTTCTTGTCACATGTTTATGCAATTTTCAATGCTTCGTCCATCTCTACCCATGTGTCGATTGTAGTAATTTTTCGCTATGCCCCAAATATGTTCGATAGGATTAAAAACGCGATGATAGGGTGGTAATCGTAAAACGAAGTAACCGCGTATTGCTCGGCTAAGTGGTCAATGCGTTATGCGGTACATTTTAGCTGATTTATTCCTAAAAGTATCAACAAGATTTAGATAATACCAAATAATTTGCGAACGTACTTACTGTGCAACCTTTTCAACAGTTCGGCTTTAAAATCATTTTCGGAGAACTGCACATTATGATCCCCTAACCACACTTTAATGTTGTCTGTTTTGCCGTTATCGAACACAATTACTGACGGGTTATCAAAATTCTTCAGTAATTACTCTTCAAACCAATGCACAGCGAAAGACGTAGAAAATAATCAAAATCAAATCAAACGAAAAGTAAACCAAAAGCAACCTGTCAAATTTACAAATTTAAACGCGACAACATAGCGAAATCCTACCAATTGTTGCGGCCAAAATAAACTACAAGCTTAATGTGTTGCCTAATAAACGAAAGTAAATTTACGTTGGTACGTCGTTTTCTTCAGGCAATGACGTGCAACGGAAGATATACTGAATAGACCGTAAAAGGAATACCGTGTTTTGATTTCATTTTCATTCGAATTTATGCTATAGCCATTTCCATAATTTAATTTATCCAATCACTTTGAGTAAAAGACGGCAAAGGTATTAATCTACAATAATTTTTCGAGGTTTACGCGCCAGTCTAAAAGGTTGAAATTAACAATTTAGCCGTAGTAAGTGCAGGTTCGAGTCTACATCAATTTGAGCGTCGTAATCTGTCAATCAGCTTCGGACAGGACAATGGACGCATCGAGGTGGCACAATGGATAATCAAGAGACGCAAAAACCAAGCGGACAGTCGAGCGATTTGCCTAACACCTCTCTCATAATAATTGATGCGCCGAATATCTACCTTTACGAAGTGATTTATTGAGACTCCTTGAAGCGCTTTCGACCGATGGCAAATTAAATGGATCGAATCGAGTAATCACTGCGTATGACAGACGTAAAGTTGTCACGAAAATTTTTAGTATGAACGATCCGGACGCAGCGGGACCTTCGAGCACCTCTGGGTAGTAATTGTTTACCTTTCCACTTACTAAGTTCGTGTTACAGGGTGAACACAGCAAAACCCGACCCGATTAACTCTGAATTCCTTTACTATAGCTCCGTTTTGAGGGTTATAGCTTTAGCTCTTACCGGCGACGTGGACAGGCAACTAGTTATACCGTGGGTAAGAAAGTTGTTCCGGCCCGAGTATCACAGTGCCCAATTCAGAGAGAAGAGGAACAAGTGAGTCGCTCCTGGGATAGATCAACGCTTTAAAATGTTGTAGGTACCTTCTATACCTAACTTTAACATTGCTGAATGACGAATGCTATGGAATCTTTCGAATTGCACCCCCTTCGGGACCATTACCGGAACTACAGTCCATCGAGCATGAAGAACAGCCTATGGCTCAGTGGGAACTTGATCCAATGTGGCGAGACAGTGTAGCAGCGCTACCAGCTGACTTTCAATATCTCAGCTGTGCCGTACACGAATTCGTAATGGATTGCGAGAAAGATCACGATTTAGACGTTGTAAGATCGCATTCTATTGACACAAACGTCACTAATCCTTTAAGGCCGCTTTACATACTGCAATTTTTCATGCAAGACCATGCAATACGCAATAAAACTTGCCCAGAAGCATGCGCGTTTGAGAAACAGCTAATTCATTTTGGCAATTCACTTGCAATTGCAGGTTAGCGGTCGCGCGCGATTTTTATTGCACTTGCACGTGATATTTTGGGGGAAAGTATTGACAACGCCAGGTTCTAGAATTCCCAAACGTTGAAACTAGACTTTGTTATTATTACTACTATTACTACACAAATTGAAGCTGCGACTGCCTTTTTTTCGATTAAAGTGTCTATTCATTTTTACTCAAAACGCATTCAGAATTATAACAACACCTGATGATAATATGATAATAATAAAGCTTTTAGTTCAATTTTAAATGCGAATGTTGGTAACAAACTATTGCAAAAAGAAAATTGCCGCGTGTAAAACCAAAGTGCAATAATTATTGCATGTACAGTATTTTTGCAATAACTTGCTGCAACTGTATTGCACAAAGAATTGCAGTATGTAAAGCGGCCTTTACCTTAAGATTTTAGACCAAGAATTTCAATTCTTTCTCTTCCTCGCCCGTCCATACGCCTCTCTCCTAAACAGTGATGATCAAACCAAAATTGCCGCATGGCTGCAAACGCTCTGTACCATTAGTGGACGCTCCTGTTCAAGTATGAAAGCCATTAGAAACGATTACATGATGGCACTCCTTGGGTAACTGACCTACAACCTCAATTTACTTGCGCACCAATAACCGTTCTAGATACGTGCACGACTTACGAGTTGCCGGTCCGTTTCGGGAATACCCACCGTGGACGACATTGCGTCCACTAATGGAGGCGGCCAAGTGGTCAGCCGAAACGAAACCCATTACCGATCCGACCGGGCATGAAGCTAACGAATTCCTGGCGGCTTTACCTATTCCCCAAGATGGTGCTTTCTGTTACATTGCGCTAACCGGAGATCTCATTGACGGGGCAGTTAGTCAGATGCAGTAAATTGTCGATTTTAATAAAATATTACCCTCTTCCATCATTTTATAATAGATCCTCAGATCCCTGTATTTTCAACATTAGGAGAGGGAGGTATTTATTTTCAGGTACCCAACAGGAACCGCTCTGTAGATGTGGAATAATTACAGAGAGTTCTCCCTTGCCATCTAGCTTAAACGTTTGGAGCTATGTGAACTGAAAATTGTTATTTACAAAAATAATTTGGGGTTGGTAGGACATTAAAGCGCATTCTCTACGTGTATTTTGATTAAAATATGTTACACGCCCTATGTGACCATATGTATTTTAATCAAAACATGTAAAAATCACTATTTGTGCACTACAATCATTGGGAACAAGACATACATTTGGTGCGTTTGGGCGATATTTATCCCCCAAGATCGTGGAGAACATGATCAAAGGTAGATATTTCGATACCCAAAAGATAAATTTTTGCATTTTTGGGGACCAAGTATATTGGGCGTGGAGCTCAATTTGATGCACCAATCACTTTTTTTTTTATTAATTATTACTTTACTAACTACAATTCGACTGGCGCAAACTAGCATGAGATGCAAAATTGACTGGGTTCCTACGCACATGGACAAACTGTTACATGGGTATTTTTGGAATTTATTGGGGGTTTATATTTATACGTTTATGCAACAGTTTTGGGTTATGGGATTTTTTTGGTATTATTTGGATTTGAATTTATTGACCTAATGTTAACTGGTGTTAAGGAAACATAACCGCCTTTCTTTAGCTAATGTTATTATTAGGTACCTCCCACGTATCTTCCCAGTTTTACACAGGTAGAGTTGACTTTTGAAGGAAGCTGGGTGTCACTCAACTGCAAGGAAGTGACAAAGGTTTTATTGCTGTGAAGATTCTCAAGTACCTTTATGGTTACATACTGAGCTAGCTGAAAGTTTATGCGGCGTTTTTTTTGTTGAAAAGAAAGTGCCATTTAAATTCATGTCGCATGGTGCATTAAATTAAGACATTTTTCTTTAGGACGGTGTAGTATAGCAACTTCTTTATTATAAAATAGGTATAATAATAGTCCAGGGAATAGAGGGTTTTAACTTGCAAAATGAGAAGTAGTTCCATTTCTTTTGCATGTCATAGACAGTCATCTGGTGGTTAAGAATCTAAGTTTTCGACCTCCCACCCCTTGTGCTTCCCCCGTACCACCCCCAAAACCCCTGAAATTTGGTTGGTTTCTTAGTTTTTCAATCATGTCTTTTTAATGGTTCACTTTAGAAAAAAATATTGTTATCAGAAATTGTAGACCATAAAATTCTACAGAAGTTTGATATACACTACTTTTTTGTGAAATCTTTATTAAAAAAGATATAGAGCTTGAGAGTTGGTTATATTTTGAAGAATTCTGAAATTTCTATGTAGACGTTTTAACCAAATTTCATACCTTATCTCTATAATTAAGAGTTCAACTTATCGTGGTATAAACCCCCCTACCCTGCACCCTTACCAAAGGGGATGCATAATAATTCAACTTTCAACCCTTGCTGGTGGGGATGTTTGAATCACTGTGAGATTGTAGCGCTTTCTAATATACTTTTGAAATTAAAAAATTGTTTCACTTCAGTTCAGTTTCACCCCCCCCCCACCCGCGCGCGGTAGAAATAGATATTTAAACGCTCTTGTGAAGTTAGTCAGAGAATACAATTATGCTTATTACATATGTGTTCTATTCCTCTTTAAATATCTATTCCTACCGCGGATGGGGGGGCGGGGGAGGGGGGATGAAGGATTTTAAGAATGAAGCTGAACTGAAGTGAGATAATTTTTTTTTTTCAAGCGTATATTAGAAAGCCCTACAATCTCACAGTGATTCAAATATCCCCATTAGCAAGGGTTGAAAGTTGAATTATTATGCATCCCCTTTGGTAAGGGTGCAGCGTAGGGGATTTATACCACGATAAGTTCAAGATATTTTCTCATAAAACTCTTAATTATAGAGATAAAGTATAAAATTTGGTTAAAACATCTACATAGAAATTTCAGAATTCTTAAAAATATAAGCAACTCTGAAGCTCTATACCGTTTTTAATAAACATTTCACAAAAAAGTAGTGTATATCAAAGTTGTGTAGAATTTTATAATCTACAATTTCTGATAACAATATTTTTTTGAAAAATGAATCTATACAAAGATATGACTGAAAAACTAAAAAACCAACCAAATTTCTTTGGTTTTAAGGGTGGTGCGGGGGAAGCACAAGGGGTGGGAGGTCGAAAACTTGGATTCTTAACCACCAGATATTCTTTCATGACATGCAAAAAAAATTGGAACTACTTCTCGTTTTGCAGCAAACGGTTCATTTTCAGTCTCTATTTCCTGGACTAATAAATGCTTTGCATCTATGCCCAATAAATGTATTTTATGGAATTTTGGCAATGAGAATATTTGGGAGAGGAGTACCTATAATATCAAGAAATTACAGACGATTTTGATGTTGCATCGAGACGACAAAAGTAATATAATTTATTATGAGTCCATCATATGCTACTTAGCCAGCTAAACTTTACAATAATTAACTTGATTCAATTCCCTTTTTAAACTAAAAATTCACAAATGATCTCTCAGATTTTCAGCAATTATTAATGATTTTAAATGGACCAGTTTCTACCTTCTAACTAAATTTATAGATATCGAAATGTAGTTGTAATGGAAAATTTCTTTTACAAAACAAACCAAACAAATGCAAAATGAAGGTTTTTAATTTACGGTTTAAAGCTCACACTTTCACTAATCAAAATCCTTAAAGGAAACGATCTTTATTGAATATAAACATACACATTTTCTTCCACGTCTCAAAACCATCCTCGAGTAGTCCAACCTTGGAAAAAATTTGATTCTCCTCTAATCCCGGCTCAATTTTTTATTTTTGACCTACAAAGTACATTAAAAATAAAAAGACCCGTGTGTCCTCAATTTTTATTTGCGAGTAAAATAAACCCAAAATAAATTATTGAAAAGCCGTGTTCTTAGTGCGAATCTGAAACGCTTCAGTTTAAATACGTCACAAACCTACAACCAATCACGTAGAAGTGAGCCGGCAACCTTGTGCGAGGGTCTGACGTTTGTCGGATTTGACGTTTTACAAATGACATTCTCCTGCAATATTGCCAATTCGTTATGTCATCTGAATGGTTCTATGAGGTGATTGGTCGGGCTTATTACGTCACAGAGCCCGCCACAATCATATCGTTTTGAATAAACCCTTAAAACCGCACTTGTTCATTATTTTTTTGCTAATCAGCATCTATTTTTAAATAAACTTTTACTGTCCAAAAAATGCTTTATGGTTTCAGGTTCACGCTTATTAAATTAGAACTGCGGAATTCAACTATACTGTAAACCCCCATTATGATTCGATGGAATGGAAATTCGTTTATTCAAGTTACACCCTGGCTTTTTTACCAGGTAACTGGAGCTGGTTTTAAATTATCTCGTTAGATTTTAGTTTGAATTGTGCAATATTGTTTTTAAAACAATCACGGACTAACCATACGGTTTCAGTATACGATCTACTAATAGTGCGATTTAATTTATCTTCTGGAACTTTAGCTTTCAAAATTCAAACCTATTTATTGAATGATTGTACCTGCCACTCTAAACTGGAGTCTAAAGATCAGTTATTTTGATGTGATTTCTACGACGGCTCAAAACCAATTCCTCTTCTTCCTTCGTGCGTGGTAGTCCATTACACATTTGCAAAGAACCTGATGTGATTCAGTTGTACTGTAACTTATTTATCATCAATCATAGCTTATCATGTATTAAAACCGGCGACTGAATTTTATCCGGCTATTAAAACAAATTCCATAACTCACCTTGCCTGCGACTGATAGAAAAAGCTTTTGGAAAATATCGTATTAAATGAAATTTAAAACAACCAAATCTTGGAATCCCAGCCGCCTAAGGAAGCCATGGTGCTTAACACTGAGACACCTCAACAAAATTCAACTCTCAACCTCAACCATACAAAAATTCAAAACAAATCAATCTCATTCAAGGGCTCCCGTTACATCAAGCACTGCATTTTGCCCTCAATGAAAAGAAGTGTTCAATGTTTGCAAAACATTGCGGTAATGAATATTTTAGAATTCTTTCAATGCAGATTCATTGCGATTTTTAGTGGCAACGACTGTACCTGTTAACTAACTTAAAACTTGAATCTCTTTTTCAATAAACAAGTAAAACGGTTTTCACCCTAAGGCGAGTAACTTCAGCGCATTTTTCATGAATGACCAGTACTTCCCAAAAGGCCATAGCTACGTGCGCTGTGATTTTATTTACTAGAGGCATATATCGTTGGAAAATGCGCTAAAAAATGAGTTCAAAATTAGTTTTTAAAAATCTTGAAGTAAACCTGACTGTAATTTTTATCGTAACGATTTCGCCTCGTGTAAAAGTGGTTGCGCATGCGTAAATCGAATGTAGGTAGTTCAGTATGACACATGTAAAGGAGGAAGTTATTTTTGTGATACGTGTTTTGCGTGCCGGAATAATATGAAATATTTCAAATTTTTTATTGCCGGGTCAAAAATTGCTGTGATTTTTTTAATTTTTCAAAAACCAAATACTATCCTATGTTTTCATGTTTAAAGATCTCCATATATCAAATTTTATGGTTTTATAATTGTATATAAACCAGATACTGACTAGGAATAAATTAGTCTTCAATTTGGTAGAAGTGACGGTCCACCGCCTTACATTCTACCCTAAATCTGCTCGATCTCATACCGAACTAAAGGTTGTTTTTCACTTGCTCATCATTTTGGTAAATTAAATTAAAAATTAAATTAAATTAAAATTGAGGTTGGTGACATTTGTTAGTTTCCGCCACGGAGAATGATAATCTTGTACTGTTGCAGAAGAATATATAGAAAAACGACAAATCGAAAACCGATATGCTTTGATCTCAACTCCAAACAAGCATTTCGCCTTTCAATTCCAGCGTCGACTCAGTACCTACAATATGCATTCACCAGGCAACCAGATACAACAA